CTTTTCAGCAGGATGTGTCCTATCCTTAAATAATGCTGACTTAGCTAGAGGGCTTTACACCACTATAGTGTCCCAGAGCATTAAAATAGAATTGCTTACTAGTCTCTTCATTAATCTTTATGTTGAACATGGAAATGTTTGGGGATGGATTTTGAAACTAGAGTGACTTAATTACCACAGGGGGCTAAGCAAGCAAAATATAAAAACACACGTGTTTATCTGCGGTAGTTGTGCTTTGTGTCATAGAAAGAACACTTGTGACAAAAGGCAAATGGTAAAAATACATACCGTTTTTTTTCTGCTATTAACCCTTGATCTAGCTGACAGTTGGAACTTAGATCTTTTTCCTAGCCATGCTGTGTATCAAATGTGAATCAGGGACATGTGTATATGCAATTAGTTGTTAAGAGAGCATTTTGGTAAGTCTGGTGTAATGCAGTGCTTTCATATTTGGTGCTTAATGAAAGTGAAGCAAATACCTTTGAGGCCTGCTAAGCATTTTTTTTTCTCCACCCTGAGCAGCAATTCTTCAATATGATATAAGCAAAACACCATCCAAGGTTTCCACCTATGTGTAGATACTGCAGGTGGCAGTCATATTTGCATGTTGAATATGTTGCACTTTGGCTTACTCTTTTATTACTGTACTTGTTTAGTGGTAACGTCACACCAGTAACACAGTTGTGTGTAGATCTATGGCGATTGATTACTACTTTGTAATTAAGGTGCTATTTTCAGACGCTTGCGCGAAGTCTTTTCTACTCCGAGCATTTGTGAACCCAACCAGAGACCAGCCAACAGGTTTCATTTTTCTTTGCCCAAAAAGCTTCTCTTTTTTTTTGCGAACAAGTTTTAAAACTGACTGATGCTGAGACTTAAAAAAAAAAAATATTAAAAATTAAAAAAATATATATTTTTAGAGAAAAATAAATAACACAAAAAGTGATGTTACCCAAGCAAGGCCTTCTAATAAAGGAGTGGCCCCCTCACCCATCCCTCCCTACCTGTGCAAGTCCTGCTCACATCAGTTTCCTTCCATCCAATTAGGCGACCTGGGAGACCCAGCCAGCACCATCCGGAGGGACTACAGAGTGGTGATGGGGTACCTCCAAGAAGCTTGCAGGATGGAACCAGGGAAGGTTATGGCCACTCCACATCTCTTAAAGTACCGCTGGCTCGATCACTCCAGATTAGTGAAGAACTGCTGAGCAGAAACCAGTTTTCTACGGCTGCCAGCCATGGGCCATCTGGACTACAGAATCATGGACAGCACTTAATATTATCCAGGGAGGCTTCTTGGGCAAAACCACACTACGAATTCAATTTCAGCCGCATGAAATTCAGGGGAAATGGTGCACTCAGCAACATCAGTGACCTTCCTTTTCTTACAGAAAACTCTGCCTTTCAAAAAATGGCACTTCAAACTAAACAGGATGGGAAAAAGGACGTGAGCCATTCGTCTCCTGTGGATTTAAAGATACCACAAGTTCGAGGCATGGACCTTTCATGGGAGTCCCGCACTGGTGACCAGTACAGCTATAGCTCTTTGGTAATGGGTTCACAAACGGAGAGCGCACTTAGCAAAAAGTTAAGGGCTATCCTTCCAAAACAAAACAGGAGAAGCTTGCTGGATGCTGGACCAGATTCCTGGGGCTCAGATGCTGAGCAGTCTACCTCTGGACAGCCATATCCCACCTCAGATCAAGAGGGAGATCCTGGCTCCAAGCAACCTAGGAAGAAAAGAGGGAGATACAGACAGTATAACAGCGAGATACTGGAGGAAGCAATCTCTGTGGTTATGAGCGGGAAAATGAGTGTTTCCAAAGCTCAGAGTATTTATGGGATCCCCCACAGTACACTGGAGTACAAAGTTAAAGAGAGGCTGGGCACTTTGAAAAACCCTCCAAAGAAAAAAATGAAATTAATGAGGTCGGAGGGGCAGGATGTTTCAGTAAAGATTGAATTAGATCCCCAGGGAGAAGCAGCACAAAGTGCGAATGAATTGAAAGATGAGTAGGGATGTTGTAGAGTGCCAATTACTTTGCAAACTGGGTGAGCACTACTGCATAGTTCAACCACCACTGAGCGCACCTGATTCTCCTATTTACTCCAATGCTCTTTCCTTTGCAGTTTAGCATTGACTTGTGTGGACACAGGTGAAAGGTGTGCTCCGAATGTCACATGTGTAAATTTTTCTAGCCTGGTATGTCGCAGTTTCCCTCCTTCACCTGCCCACTTTCCCCCCCTTTTTTTTTTCTTTTTTTTTTCTTTTGCCTTTTGCATGTTTCTCTGCAATAGAGAGTTGAGTTACCTCACAAAGAATGCAGATCTGTGGAAGTGGACATCTTACCTGTAGAGCCTGCCTGAACTTCTGGTGTTGGGTTTTTCATGTCTGCCTTTATAGAAATAAGTCCACTTTGTTAAACTGATACTCTCTTAAAACCAGGCTTTTTTTTGAATGATAATCAGACTGTCATTCTACAAAATGTTAAAGAAATCTTTTTTTCCCCTCCTTTTCTTTGATCCAGTTGATTGAAAGATCTAAGCTAAATCAAGTTATTTAGGAATGGCACCTCTCTTGAACTCAGAGATTTGTTTATTAGACAGATAATCAATTGGTTCTAATTAGGCTCTCCACTATTTTCTTTCTAAATTAAACGTACTTACCATTCACTGTCTGCTTAGTGCTCACCCGGGGGGGAGGGGAGGGAAAACTTGCATACACTACCTTCAGAATATGTCAGTTAATTATTTGTAACACTACCTTCGCTGTAATTTTATTTGATATTTTTGAAGGGTGATATTTAGACTCACCTGCTCGAGGATGTAGCCTTATCTCACGGAAGACAAGCTTCTTACAGTCAGGAGCAGTCAGGGTACACTAGATGATGTATTAGGGTATGCCTCATTATAACAGAACTATGGTTCTTTGACCTTTACGCTTTTTACAGACTTGATTCTGAGTTTACTAAACTATGTGGTTCCAACAACTAGTTTAAATGACTTTAATCCGGGGAAGGGGGATTTATGTAACAAACTACTGTGATATTGCAAAAAAAAGAAAAAAAAAAAAAAAGGCAAGAAAAAAAAAAAAGCCCACAAAACAGTGATTTCAAACGTGTACGACCTCAGTAGTCTGCCCAAATATCCACATTAGTGAAGGAGCTTGTTGACGTTCAGGGAAGAAGTAAAACACTGGTAGCCTGATCTGATTTCAGGCTCTGCATCATATCTATCTGTAATACTGTCAGGGTCGAACACTCAGTGAATGGGTGTTTCCTTTTTAAATATTACAGTTGCCAGTAGCAGGAATTAATCTAAGTCCTGCTTTTTTGTTGTTGTTTTTATTTAATCTATTTTGATAGTGGTTTAGCACATGCTAGAATAAGCATTTAAACATCGTAAAAGCACTCCATAAACCACAAATCAATTTTTTTTTTTTCAATATGATGATATTGTTATCATTATATGGAGATCCAGGATAAATTTTGTACAGAACTTTTATCTTTGATACTTTCTGCGTGAGTGGTCAGTAACTAGGTGGAGCATACTGGGTTTACCACAATATGACCAAATCAGAATTGCTGGTTCTTCAGGTAGAAACAATTTGGTCTTAATCTGTGCAAAAGGTAGATAGAATTACCTTTTTTTTATTTATTTTTTTTTTTCCCTCTCCACATTTGCACAACCAAAAGAAGCATTGGACTTTTGTGTGATTGCATTAAGTGAAGTCAGTGATTGAAAGTGGTTTCTCAAAGTTCAGGGGGGGTGGCCTAGATAGCCCTAGGAATGCTGAGTGACTTCTGGAACAGTGGATCCTATTAGCCTCTCCCCCTCCCCAGCAACTTCATATTTTCAAAGGTTAGGCACACCATTGCTGTCGTTTTAAATATGCACTGCTCATTCTTGAAACGGACTGGGCATTTGGCCCCAAGTATACTTTTAGTTTTGTTTACTTAATACATTTTAGTACTCAAAATCCTGGTTCCTCATAGCTCTCTAGTTGTCATCTTGTCATTTAAAGCAGTTTAAGCTCAGTAGCAGTATATAAACTCTGCAATACGTTCCAGTTTAGCTGGTGATTGCAATAAAGGCGCAGTTAAACGTGTGGTTTCATCTGCTGTTGGAAGTTATGGTAGAAAGTTTGCTGCAAGTTAAAAAAAAAAAAAAAAAGTAACAGTTTTACTGTTCAGAGAGGTTTAACCTTTTGCAGTTGTCTTTATTTAAGCAACATGAGTTGAGTTTTATAAAACTTGTCACTGTAGTGTATGTGGAGTGCTCATTTTACTAACCTAAATATTTTGTATGTGTACGTTTAAGTGGGTGACAATCGTGCAGCAGAAGAATGGTGTGCCTACCCTTTAATGCTGCAGTTTTAAAAAGAGATTTGTCTTGTCATTTCAGACTGTAGGCTAAGAATTGTAAATAGATAGTGAGAAGTTGAGTACTCTTTATTTGCTTTGGTTAGAAAGTGGATTTAAAAAAAAAAAAAAAAAAAACAACAAAAAAACCAACAACAAACCAAACACGTAACTTTCTCAGTTTAAATGTCCTGAGACCTGAAGATTGTAATACTCTTGTCTGCAAAGCTTTTAAACACAACACTTGATCTGTGATAACTTAATATTCAGGTAATCTTTCTTTTTCAAGAAGCTTTTGAACAACCATATTTCCTCCAAAGGTCTCTGTTCAAAAAGGAAAAAAAAGAAAAAAGTGTAGATTATTTTTTAAGCACTAATTGCATTACTTTGGTAACTGCAATATAAAATAGCCATTATTGTTTTGTGAAGCATGGTTGAGATTAGTTAGTGGTCCCTTTTTAAAATTTCATGAGCCTCTCAAAAATAAAAACAAATTTAAAAAAAAGCTGCTGAATATTCAAAAGATATATATTTTACCTTATTGTAGGTTTTGTAAATCTAGTCTGTAATATTCAGGTGCACCTTTTAATGTTAACTTTTTGTTTCAAAGTCCCATCTAATGTATTTTCTCTGAAGTGATTCATCACATAAGACTAGTATCACTCCAAGTGCTGCAGTGATCACTAATGTTTTGTTTCATTTTTCACTACGTATTTTTTACAGGCGCTCTCAGTGTAGGTAACTAGTAGTATTTGAGATAATTTTAAATATATGATTGGAATTAATGTTTGTCCATTAGCATGCTTAATTTTCTGCTGACCAGCAGTATGCATGGCCAAAATCCCTGGTTGTGACCATATTTTGGTGTGGGAAGGTGTGGTTCACTGCTGTCTTTGTAACAAAAGCCTTGTTTCTCACGTTATTTCTGGTAAGTGGATGCTTATGTTACTTGGATCACTTGGACAGGAGATAAGGTTTTAAGTCTTTCTCCTGCTGCTTTTTTGAGATCACATTGACGTGTAACATAGACAAACTGCAACCCTGTAAAAACCGAGACGTCGTTAGGAGGAGGCCTTTCGGGTATTTTTCGTCACTAGTTTTCTCTGATTCCCGAGAATGTCCATCCGATGTAGTTATTGGACTTAACAGTATTGTTGTGTACTACGTTGATGTAGCTGGAGAAGCCTGACAGCAAGAAACTGTGAATAATATTTGTGGCAGTCTCTGAAAACTAGTTTTTCAGTCCAAGTATCATGAAGGAGAATCCCTCTCCCCCACCCCATCCTAGAAAAGTAATTTTATATTTTGTGTGTATAAAGTTTTAAGAATCAAGTTTCATATTGTACTGAAGTTTAGGTGTCGCTTGGTAAATCTTTACTGCAGCATATAATGAAGATGAGTAAGGCTTAGTGTGGTAGGGGTCCTGGTGTGGAGTTAATTATCGTACAGTTCTGGTGAGAAAGCCCAACATGTATGAAATGTGTCCTTTTATTTTAGTTTATTTTTTTTATTTGGACTTGTAGGGTGTAAAAGTGCTTTTTTAGAACTCTGACCTATCACAAACTATTACCTCACTTTCAGCCAGCTGGATCCTCATTCCACAGTGTTGTAGGCGTTATTGTGGCCGTAATGCTTGAGTACAGCTATAGAGTTGAATGTTTCCAGTTAGATGTTGTAGGGACACGTATCTGGACTCGTTTTTATTTCTGTCAAAAGATATTTTATTTTCCAGTCATTCCCTGATTTTTTTAATGTTTTTTTTTTAAGGCTCAAGACAGTTTCCTTTAGAATTTCTCATTTTTTCCCTGTTGCACAGGATAAGTTGCTGCATAAGCAATGCAGGTATGCCTTTACTTTCTTCTTGTTGCAGAGCTCATAACTTGATGCTTGCATTACCAACCCTATTGCTACACCTGAAGTCGAACTCTGAATTTTCATGGCAATTGGAAAACAACTGATTTTTAACAAACGCAAGTGTGCCGGTAGGATAGTGCCTCTAGTAAGAGAACACATTCAGCTTCTGTGTTCTCAATAACTCCTATACTGTCTTTTTTGTAGAACTTTCTAGTGCTCAAGGATATTCCTAAACGTGGGAGGCAACTGCATGTATGTTTAGACCAGTTGAGAGCAGACGAGGAATAGTCTGTGCTTTGTCTTGTGGCAGGCCAATATTTGAGTCTAAATATTTCTTTCATGGGAACCTGAGAGTACATTGCCTTCCCCTGGAAATTCACAGGAACTGGCAAAGTGATTCGGGGCCTTTAGGGTTGAGTAAGCTTTGTATAGATTGGAACAACTTTTTAGTTCTGATTGATTTGCCTTTTACATCGTCTGCAACAATTGTTATACAGGCAAAATTGGAATTATCATGTGTTCCTTTCCAGTTTACTTGAAGTAATGCTCTTAAGATGTCCTTGAGTCTTAGGAGAAGAACACAGTGTCCAAGGAGCAAAGGGAACACTGTGCTGTTCCCTTGTTTCTCAAAAACAGTGTGGATACATCTGTAATGTAAAGCGCTCTTTCTTCAGTGAAGACAGAATTTTAACTCGTGTAAGAGTGCGTACACTTGTTGCAGTCCAAACTCTTACGAAGGCAAAATTATTAACCTGTACTGAAAGCTTTGTCACAATATTTTAAATATCTTAGATTTTCTGCTAAATGTTAGAGGTAGAACAGGAAGGGTTGTTTCCCTCATTTTCATGAGAATCAGAAACTTCCAGGTTTTCCCCACAAATGTTTCAGAAACTAAATGTAATTTCAGTCTAGTTCAATGTTGCTTTTTCTTGGCATCAGTAGATAATGTTGACTAATATTGGTTTAAAAAGCTGTACCTAAAAAAAAATTGTTTCAAGACTAGTTTTGGTACTATAAACATTTCCACTTGATCTCGAAGTTTATCAAAAACTCAGTAATTAGAACCTTCAGAAACCTGAAAATCTGCGCTGCTAGTTATATGCAGGTCTGATGGATGTAGCAAGTACGATAACCACTACAGTTATTCATTTCTAATTATCCTGTGTATAAACACAATGTACTGTGATGATCAGTAAGCAGAGAGATATTGCAGACTCTAAATGATCCGTAGTTGCACTCCACATATACCAGAAAAACCTGTAAGTAGTTACAGCATTCCAATGTCCATCTCTCCCTCTCTCCTGTTCTTGGTTTGACTGGGGCCAAGTCTCTATACCAGTATTACAGCAGCAGTTTGGGACTTCATGTCCCATCGAATTATGCCTGTATTCAGGTATTGTCATGAAAACTGTCATCTTAAGAGAGCTTTATTTAATTGTCACAAAAATCTTTTAGCCTGATTGCAAAATCAGTTTTCCTGGGCAGAGTACTAAGAGGAAGGATTTTTTTTCAGCCTGTCCAGGGCATTTCATTCACCTTCTTAAAAGCAAACATCCCCACCCACCCCTGACCCCATGTTGTC